CACAAACACAGCAATCAGTCACACAGGCACTGCTAAGAAAGCGCATGTTTGTGTACTGCATTTGAGGATATTAGCTCAGACACCTTCAATGCTAAGATGTCAAATAATCAATACTAAAAGTAAAGAACACAATACATCACAGCACATGGTGACAGATTACAGTTTCTCGATTGTTTACACACATTTTCTGAAAGAATGCCTCATATTCTCAGAACTCTACACACAAATCAAAAAACACACACACACACACACACAGGGCAAAACCCCTCAATTCTCCTGCAAAATGAAACTTTACATTCAAAACAATGTTATTTCTTCTCAAAATGGTATTATGTTTTCAAATGACACACACAAACCATCATATGAATAGACATTCATAAGAACCAGTTGAACACTGATGTACTCAATGTAAAACACTATGATGAATGGAAAAAACTTCTTCTCCATTCATCATAATGACTTAGGCCTTTTTTTGTTCAGTGTTACACTTACTACAGACAGTACATACATAAGTGTGTTGTAAAATATTTGAGAATATTGTTTTTATACTCAGAACACACATATACATGGTAACAAATATATTTTATTTGTCCCACAAAAACAATGTACACAGTGTACATCCCATTCCCAACCAACAAAGTTGCACATACACTACATACAAAAAACAGAAGAATTTACTGTACACAGTTACAGTAAAAAAAAAATTAAAAAAACAAAACAAAAAACAAACTATGCTGCATCCTCTCTTCTGTTGCGGTCTGGCCACAGCACCTCATCCACATCACAAGCAATGTTTTCCCTGGCCAAGCAGTGGGGGAAATATCGCCTAGCATGGCGATTCCAGCCATGAAAAGCATCAGCTGCTATATCTCCACATGCATCCTCCATAGCTTGAAGAGGTATACGCGTTGGTGGATTTCGGTCATACACTTTCCATCTCCAGGCAGAAAAAAAAAATCCTCAATAGGATTGAGGAATGGAGAATATGGAGGGAGATAAACAACTGAAAAGTGTGGGTGGGCAGTGAACCAGTTACGAACCAGAGCAGCCCTGTGGAAACTTACGTTGTCCCAAATGACAACGTACCTGAGCTGCTCTGGGCCATCTACCTGATCTGGTGGAATGAGTGTGTTGTGTAGGGTGTCCAGGAATGTGATCAGATGGGCGGTGTTGTAGGGGCCAAGGGTAGCATGGTGATGGATGACGCCGTGGTGGGTAATCGCTGCACACATTGTGATGTTCCCTCCGCGCTGGCCAGGGACTTCAACAATGGCACGCTGGCCGATGACATTCCTTCCCCTCTTTTGTCTTTTTGTGAGGTTGAACCCAACCTCATCAATGAAGATGAACTGGCGCTCCACTGCAGCCACCTCTAGCTCAAGGACTCTCTGAAACACACATGACAATATCAGAAATAGACATGGAGTGGTCACTATTGTGAAGCACAATCATTATGATTACAATATTGAAATATGCATAATTTACTGTATACAGTGTTGAGTGTATGCATCAATTGTGGGACTCACTTGCACATAGGTATATCGCAATTCTTTGACTCTTTCTGAATTGCGTTCAAATGGGACCCTGTAGACCTGCTTCATCCTGAGATGATTTCTGCGCAAGACATGGTCCAGTGTTGATAAGCTTACCCTATCAATATTTTGAAATATGTCATTGTTTTCTATAATTTTTCTTTGTATTTGCTGTAATGTTATGGCGTTGTTTTCTAGGACCATGTTTATGATTTCAGTTTCCTGTCCAGGAGACAGAAGACATTCCCGACCACCTTGTGTTGGAAATCTTTCAGTTCTGCCAAACAAATAGTAAAATACTGTAAATACAAAGTAGGTATACATTTCCTAAATACTTGTAACATACTTTACAGTATTTTTACAGTCCTACAGAACAGTCCACAGGCAATACTGTACTACTGTACTCGTTGAGTACTGTATTGATATGCAGTACTGCAATTTGCTAGTGAGAGTAGATTTCTTACCTATTCTTATTTCGGAAAGTCCGGATGATGGATGCTACAGTGTACCTGCTCCGATTTGGCTGTACTCTTTGCCCAGCCTCCCTCATTGTTAGAGCATGGTTGACCACATGATCAACCAAAGTGGCTAGGATCTCATCAGAGATTACGGTCCTTGGCCTTCCCCGTCCTCGTCCCCCGTTTCCAATGTTGGCATCCATTGCTCCATTGAAGAGCTCACCTGTTGCCCTTTTATGCTAAAGCTCTGATTGCTAATTAGAAAAAACTGTGTGACGGGTGTTTGCCCTTGTGATGAGTCAGTGTGCATATTTGAATGGCAGTGTGTTCCTTATGAAAACAAGATATTTTCTGCATGAAACTTGTGCCAAAAGCAGAGAATTGTGTGTAGTGTTTTGAAAAAAGTGTGTTTTAGAACTGCAATTTGAGTGTAAAGCTGGTAGGTTGTGCTTGTAGTTTAGCAGAATTGGTTCAGGGGGTTGGTGAATGAGTTACATGTTGTGGTCATTGTGTCTCAAGTACCAGAATTTGTGTGTAAACAATTGAGAAAAACTGTTACATTGGGTGTTTTGATCTTTGTCATAAATGTTATAGAACATTCTCAGGTGTCTTAATTGATGTGACAAGGAAAAGTAAGACAGGTCTAGCTTGGAGTCATTAGCTGACCCCACAAGTGTTCACTGACCTTCCAGCTGTAGTTATTTCCTCACATGTACAGTGAGGAAAATAAGTATTTGAACACCCTGCTATTTTGCAAGTTCTCCCACTTAGAAATCATGGAGGGGTCTGAAATTGTCATCGTAGGTGCATGTCCACTGTGAGAGACATAATCTAAAAAACAAAATCCAGAAATCACAATGTATGATTTTTTAACTATTTATTTGTATGATACAGCTGCAAATAAGTATTTGAACACCTGAGAAAATCAATGTTAATATTTGGTACAGTAGCCTTTGTTTGCAATTACAGAGGTCAAACGTTTCCTGTAGTTTTTCACCAGGTTTGCACACACTGCAGGAGGGATTTTGGCCCACTCCTCCACACAGATCTTCTCTAGATCAGTCAGGTTTCTGGGCTGTCGCTGAGAAACACGGAGTTTGAGCTCCCTCCAAAGATTCTCTATTGGGTTTAGGTCTGGAGACTGGCTAGGCCACGCCAGAAACTTGATGCTTCTTACAGAGCCACTCCTTGGTTATCCTGGCTGTGTGCTTCAGGTCATTGTCATGTTGGGAGACCCAGCCTCGACCCATCTTCAATGCTCTGAGGGAAGGAGGTTGTTCCCTGAAATCTCGCAATACATGGCCCCGGTCATCCTCTGGATCATCCAAATGGTCATTGGCAAACTTAAGACGGGCCCTGACATGTGCTGGTTTAAGCAGGGGAACCTTCCGTGCCATGCGTGATTTCAAACCATGACGTCTTAGTGTATTACCAACAGTAACCTTGGAAACGGGGGTCCCAGCTCTTTTCAGGTCATTGACCAGCTCCTCCCATGTAGTTCTGGGCTGATTTCTCACCTTTCTTAGGATCATTGAGACCCCACGAGGTGAGATCTTGCATGGACCCCCAGTCCGAGGGAGATTGACAGTCATGTTTAGCTTCTTCCATTTTCTAATGATTGCTCCAACAGAGGACCTTTTTTCACCAAGCTGCTTGGCAATTTCCCCGTAGCCCTTTCCAGCCTTGCGGAGGTGTACAATTTTGTCTCTAGTGTCTTTGGACAGCTCTTTGGTCTTGGCCATGTTAGTAGTTGGATTCTTACTGATTGTATGGGGTGGACAGGTGTCTTTATGCAGCTAACGACCTCAAACAGGTGCATCTAATTCAGGATAATAAATGGAGTGGAGGTGGACATTGTGAAGGCAGACTAACAGGTCTTTGAGAGTCAGAATTCTAGCTGATAGACAGGTGTTCAAATACTTATTTGCAGCTGTATCATACAAATAAATAGTAATAAAAAAAAATAAAAAATCATACATTGTGTTTTCTGGATTTTGTTTTTTAGATTATGTCTCTCACAGTGGACATGCACCTACGATGACAATTTCAGACCCCTCCATGATTTCTAAGTGGGAGAACTTGCAAAATAGCAGGGTGTTCAAATACTTATTTTCCTCACATGTAACTGTCCTTGTTAGGGAGACGACAGTTAGACTGATAAGGTAAAGACAGTAGCTCAGGCGTCAGGCTGGCAAAAATCAGTGTTCTCTGGGAATCTGACAAGGTTGAGTCTTACAAAATGTTTAACAAAAACTTACTGACTCCACAGATTAGCGTACAACTCATGGATAGAATTTGATTCCAATTTGACGAAGCATCGGAGTCTAAACATCAGATAGATTTGTTGTTCTAGGTAAAGGCCAGCTAAAGATGAACTAAGAGGAAAACCTACAGGAACTAGGGGGAAGACAGAAACATTAAAGTGACCAAATGCTCTGTTGTTATCGTTCAGATTTGGTGTTGACATTTAACGTGTTCAAATGTTGAATGCTGGCACTGTATCTCCTTGGCTGGGCTCAATAAAACTATGTTAAAGAGGTGGTATAATGCTGTATGTTGTTCCTCAAATGTTGTATGTTGTTCATCAAATGTAAGTCACTTTGGATAAAAGTGTCTGTTAAATGAGTAAATGTAAATGCTTTTTGCCTTTTTCCCTCTCCTTTATTGAGTTTGCAAAGTGAAAAAGCCCAAAGTCCACCCCAAAGGGAGTTCCCATCTCCCACAGAAAACACTGCTCTGAACTGCCAGAAAACAGCTCATTTGTAGTCCAGCCGCTTCCCTTTCATGACGACATAATTGCTAAAGTTCGAAACAGCTGATGGATTACAATTTCAGGATAATGGATGGAGAAATTCATTCATTCTTTTGTCCATGTGACTCCAGCTTGGGACTTTTACTCTTCTGTTGTTGTTAATTTAAAGTTAATATGATGTAGGATTGTATAGAAAATCAAATGATTTATATGATGTGGTGGGAAAAGGATGTTTAAATAAACAGCTCAGGCAAACACTTGTCTTTCAGTGAATTTTATTCAAGTCTTCTGCAGAAGGAACTCACAGGGACACATACGCATCAGAGAGTATCATCCAAGTGAGCTGCAGTGTAACAGCTCATGCAGCTTTTATCTTAGTCTCAGGGTCGGAGTACTATCTCATCAAGGTGTCTTTGAGCGTTCCCGAGGGGACACTCAATCTGGATCTATAGAAAGACACCCATGTCCAAGGTACATGTGGTGAAACACTTAAAAGTCCTGACCCCACTGGACATATGTTAAAGCATCACACACATTTACCTTCCATTGACCCCTGGAGGCCCCTAGTGAGATTAGTTACATGGCAGTGTTTTAAAGATGGTTCTCATGAAATTCCCATTACAATCCTTAATGGTTTGAAAAAAAAAGTTTACTGTGCCTATGAAAATTGTTTACCCCCCTTGGAAGTGATCATGTTTTATTGTTTTACTGCAATGAGTCAAAGACTTTACGTCAGTGTTTCGATGCAGATCAACAGGATCTCAAAGTAATGTAATTTCATTAGAAATGTAATTCAAATATGACCTAATGTTTAAAATATTTATTTTATTCAGTAAAAACCCTTCATTTTAGGTTCATAATGTAATTCAATTCAAGTAATTTTCAAAGTCAAAACACTTTTGCCACAGCCTTGACGACATTTCTTTACAAACAAAACAATAAGAGAAATCAATCACCTTATATAAAAGAGAAAGCACCAAACTCACAGAAGCTGGAAAAATCAAATGTTTGGCGCTTTACAAATGATGTATACAATTAGTTATTAAAATAGTTGCCAATTAATTTCTGTCAATTGACTTATTGATTAATTGTTGTATTTGTAACAAAAGTATAATTAGATATTAGATTAGAATTTATCCACAACAGGTCTAAACTTGCTTTTGCCTTCACAAGGTGGTCAAGCATCTATATTAATAAATAAATTATAGCAGAGGTCAAAGCATAGTACAGCACAATAAAATAAATAGGCACAGAACCAGCGGCCTAAATTAGCAACATAATTGGAGCTGAAACAATTTGTCAATTATCCCATTCTTATTCCACTGAGGGAAACTTAATCTGCAATTATTTTAATAGTCTATTAATCTTTTGAGTCGTTTTTCAAGCAAAAATGTCAAACATGTGCTTGTACCAGCTTCTCCATTGTCAGGTTTTGGCTATTTGTTCATTTTAAATCATATTTACTACATGTAAATATAATATATTTAGGTTGTGGGCAGTTAGTTGGACAAAAAGATCAATCTGGAGATGTCACATTGGTAACCTGTGATGGTCAAATGCTGTTAATAGACAAAATGGTTAGTCAAGAAAATAATTTGCTAATTAATCTAGCCCCAAACCTGTATGCAGGGTTCAATAAAGTCAAGACATGTGAAATATTAGACCTTTTATACTGCTTCTCTAGTGGGACTTTATAGCACCTGCCTAAATTTAGTAGACTGGTTTCAGTGTAAACTGTGAATGTGTAATTAATTTCTTCCCTAATGTAATTAACTGCACATATTAACTCACCATCCTGCAGCCTCAGTGGAGGGACGAGCAGACCTACCTCAGAACAGGGAGCAGGACTTAGGGGGTCTGAAGGGATTATCACTAGAGGGGACCCCGACCAGGAGAGGGTCCTTGGAGGCATTTTGCAGACAGAAGTTTCTCAGCTCAGCAGCAGCCACGGACACCTGCAGAGCCAGACAATATTCGTGTGTGGGACGAAACATAGCAGCAAATCACATGTACGGTATCTGTAATGCTCTGTCAAACCCAGTCTCTCATTTAGCTGCATACTCACACTTACTGCCACTGTTTTGCGTAAAATTTACAAGAGCGCCACAACGTTACACGGGCGGGTGTGTCCTCCACTGTGTAACTTTTTAGTAGACACTGTCCCGTTGTTTCCTTTAGAAAACGAAGACTATGAGATTTTAATGAACGTGTCACTGCTCTCGATACGATGACGCGTCAAAGTGGATACGCTTCCCTGAAACGTAACTTAAACTTGAAGTCGTGGTTTAAAAGTCCACCAGAAACCAGCCTGCGTGTGACTTTGGAGACCACTTTGTTGAGCCTATGATGTGAGAGTGCAGTCGGTGTCATTTCTGCAACAGTTTGTCTCCGCCATTCAACAGTAACGTTAGTCTCTGTCTTCCGTGTTTGTGTGTCAATGTTCGTACCTTTATCCTCCGGACACTGGCCTCTAACCGGAGCTGCTTCACGGCCCTTTGAGCGACAATTAAGTTGTTGCTGGCATTGTTGTTGGACATGACGGCGGCTGTCGGCAGAGAAAAGTTGACGGATAAATAATATAAACGGGCAACACAGGGCGGAAAATAACCCCAACTGCCTTAAACCCTAAACCCGTTTGGGAAACATTGGTCACTCGATGCCCGGCCTCCTCTGTGCCAGCACGCCTTTCTATTGGGCGCTAGGCGTGTCAATCAAAAAGTGGCTAGAAATCCACGCCCCCCTGCATTCGCTGGCCATTATTATGAGTTTCCTAGAGAGCAGAGCAGGAGTGGATCCTGTGACCTTCAGCTGGAGGTGAACAACCACTAACACTATGGTTACTCACCACTTTATTTAACTTACCACTTTGTTACTATTTTAAATAAGACATGTTAAATATGAGTGTACATTTTGTTGCTTGAATTTATTGCACTCACACCCACCAGACCAGAAAGCAAGTGAAAGCTGTGGTGGTCAACACCACACAGTTTGGTGTGGATCGGATACCAGGTCCAGGATGAACAATATCAATACCAAGGCTGATACGTTATATATCTAAAAATGGCAAATGGACTACGAGGATATCGCTGCTCACATGCATGTGATAACAGATGGTGCCCAGGACATGATCTAATGTGAGACAGATCCAATTATTTTGAAACTTGAATATTTTAATGTCGATATAATAAAAATAAAAAGAGGATATGACAGCTCTCACCAATCAAACGAATAAGAACAGAACGCCACATCTCAGATTACACAATCAACAACCAAAGTTAAAAAATATATATTAGAAGAAACATATTGCTGAACTCAGACAAAACAGAAATCCTGGTCATCGCATCCCAGAAGATGACAAAACTGCCATCTGCTGGTTCCCTAGTAAATCACATTAAGAACCTTGGTGCTTGGTTTGTTTGGTTTGTAATTTAAATTTCGAGCAGCACACCACAAAGCTTGTTCAATCATGTTTTTATCAACTTAGAAATATAGCAAAAATTCGATCTATGTTAACTTTTAAGGACACCAAGACCATTTTACACGCCTTCGTCTCATCACGCCTGGATTATTGCAACAGCCTTTTTACCTGTTTAACCCAAAAATTTATTGATCGACTCCAGACTGTCCAGAACTCAGCTGCCAGGCTTTTAACCAGAACAAAGAAATATGACCACATTACTCCTATTTTAGCTTCATTACACTGGCTCCCAGTATGTTTTAGAATTGACTTTAACATTTTATTGATCACTTTTAAAGCTCTTCATGGCCTCTCGCCTTGTTATATTTCTGAACTTTCAGTCCCATACACACCAGCACGTACCTTGAGATCCTCGGGCAGAGTCTGTTGTCTGTTCCAGAGTCTCGACTGAAAACTAAAGGGGACAGAGCGTCTGCTGTCAGGGCCCCGAGGCTCTGGAACAGCCTGCCCGAGGAAATCAGGTCGGCTGAGTCAGTGAACTCTTTTAAGTCCCTTCTTAAAACATACTTTTATAGGAGAGCCTTTCCCGATTTTATTTGACTTTATTTTATCCCTTTTATTTTATTCTATTTTACTTATTTTATATTTATCTTAAACATGTATTTTAGTCTTTTCAATGTTTTCATGCTTTTATCTTGTATTTTTTTGTATTATTGTCTTTTGGGTATTATTGTCTTTACACTTGTTAAAGCACTTTGTAACTTGTTTTTGAAAAGTGCTCTACAAATAAAGATTATTATTATTATTGGTGAGTACTGTACATAAGCATGTTTGTGTGCACATGAAACAAAACAACCCAGGTGAAACTGATACCCTGATCAGGTTGCAGGCCCGATCTGAGTCAATAATGTCAAAAATGCTTCCGACATTTTAAAGTAAACAGAATTTTTTGATTGTGATAAGTATGTCAGATAGTAAAGGGACTTCTGTTTGAATATAATTCTGTGGCAGTTAGCCAGGCATGGTTTCATGCCTGTAATCCAGTTTAATAAAATACACTATATTGCCAAATGTTTTAGGACACCGCTCCGAATCATTGAATTCAGGTGTTCCAACCACTTCCATGGCCACATTTGTATAAAATCAAGCATCTAGGCATGCAGACTGCTTCTACACACATTTTTGAAAGAATGGGTCGCTCTTAGGAGCTCAGTGAAGCGTGGTACTGTGATAGGTTACTACCTGTGCAATAAGTCCATTCATGAAATTTCCTCACTATATAGTCCATGGTCAACTGTTAGTTGTATTATAACAAAGTGCAATGCAAAGCGTTGGCTGCAGTGGTGTAAAGCACGCTGCCACTGGACACTAGAGCAGTGGAGACCTGTTCTCTGGAGTAACGAATCACGCTTCTGTCTGGCGATCCGATGGATGAGTCTGGGTTTGGCAGTTGCCAGGAGAACAGTAATTCCCTGACTGCATTGTGCCAAGTGTAAAGTCTGGTGGAGGGGGAATTATGGTTGGGGTTGTTTTTCAGGGGTTGGACTTGGCCCCTTAGTTCCAGTGAAAGGAACTGTTAATGTTAGGAGTGTGGTTTTTGTGTTCATGTCTTTCCTGTTTAAGTCTGTTTTTGGTTCTGTGTTTCTCTGTGTAGTCTTGTTCAGTTAGTTCCTAGTCCTGTACATTAGTTAATATCTTTTGTGTTTACTCCTGCTCTTGTGTTCCCGGTTTTGTCTTGTGTATTCCCTTGTTCATTTACTGGTTCTGTTTAGCTCGTACCTGTGCATTCTTGGTTATTCACCCATGACTGCTTGTCTAAGTGTTCTCTCTGTTACCCCCTGTTGTCTCTGCCTGCCTGCCTCTCTGTTTTCCTGCTGTCTCTCTGCCTCCCTCGTTAGCCTCATGTCTGTCACCTGTGTTGCTCCCGCCCTGCTCGTTATCCCTGGTATATATGTGTGGTCTTTCTGTTCAGCCCTTGTCTGGTCATTGTTGGTGTTACTCCCTATCAGTTGTGGCTCCTGTCTTGTCATGTATTTTGTCTTTCTAGTCTCTGCTCTTGGTGTTTTGGATTACTTGTGTTGGATTTTGGTTTAGTTTCTCATTATGGCTTTTTATAGACTCACTCAGTATGTAGGTGTGCTCGCCTTTTGTTTGTTTAATTAAACCACTGAACTATACCTGCTCTGTGTCCTGTGTTTGGGTCCTCCAACCTGCTCAACCCTGCCTCACCAACCCACACCCACCGTAACAGTTAATGCTTCAGCATAGCAAGACAGTTTGGACAATTTCATGCTCCCAAAGTTGTGGAAACAGTTTGGGGATAGCTCCTTCCTGTCCCAACATGACTGCGCACCAGTGCACAAAGCAAGGTCCATAAAGACATGATGAGCGGGTTTGGTGTGGAGAACTTGACTGGCCTGCACAGAGTCCTGACCTCAACCTGATAGAACACCTTTGAGATGAATTGGAGGCCAGGCCAGGCCTTCTCGTCCAACATCTGTGCCTGACCTCACAAATGTGCTTCTAGAATGGTCAAAAATTCCTGTGACTACATCCTAAACCTTGTGGACAGCCTTCCCAGAAGAGTTGACGCTGTTTTAGCTGCAAAGGGTGGGCCAACTCCGCATTAAACGGGTTAAGAACGGGATGTCATTAAACTTCATGTGCATGTAAAGGCAGGTGGCCCAAAACTTTTGGCAATATAGTGTAGCCTACATGTTTTTGCACAAAAGGACAGGATTTGAAAAAGGTTTCTTCTGTGGTTATTATGCATGAAAACTGCATGTGACACACCAAACTGTTCAGTCAGTTTCAGCCCAACATCAACACCCAAGATTTTGCTTAGTTGGTTTGAGACCTCATAGTTGCAATTTGGTTTTACATTTTTTGTTGACTAGTGCATGTTCCACCATCAAGGTTCAAGGTTTTGTTTTTAAACAAAGTGATTTTATATCACACACACATACATATATATATATATATATATATATATATATATATATATATATATACACACACACTGTCAAATCACACCTGTGCTAGAAATAAACACAGCAGAATGTAGCTTTTGGTATCATTTTTATTTTAAACCCCATGGGTTTTTTTGGTTTTTAGTAACCAAACAAAATCACAATATGCAATGTGTTTGTATTATAACTGTGTGTTACCAGCTCCCGAAGGTGACTTGTCCCCTAAAGATAAATAAAAAAGAGAAAAAACATGGTTATTAATTCCATATAGTTCATTGTTTTGAGACATCGGCCCTGAGACCAAATTATCATTTATACTCACAACTGATTGGTCCAACGGTGAGGGGCATCAAAGGATCAGAGCTGGAAACAGAGCGGTACGTCCTACTTGTGCAATGCTACATGGTGGGAGAGGGTGTAAAAAGAGAGATACCATCAAATCCCAGTGTTTAAGCAGCATTGAACATGGATTGACAATGCTATTGTTGAAGTGACATGTGTGACTTACTGGAACACAGGAGAAGCTCCTTTGGTCACACAGGCTGAGGCTGCAATGAAGGAAAATGTCTCGGTATTCATTCTGGAGCAGGAACGACAGGGCAGAGAAACGAGCTTGCAGGGACGAGCCGCTCTCAGTCACTGACACCTGTTGGCGGTCAGTGGGACACCTGGCAGAGAGGATGGAGAGGGTCATCAGGGCTATTACACATCTCTATACATTTAACTTTTTCCCATTTATATTATCCTCCACAAACCATCTGCTGGTGCTCTAGAGGGACACTTACTTGTTCTGGATGAGATAGTATCTCATGGGGTCGTCAGGGTTTGATGAGTGAGTGGCATGGCAGTCTTCCAGAACGACTGCAAAGCGTGGATCTCTCTCCTCCACAGAAACGCCCACGTACAACGGTGACCCCACTGGCAGGATGACCTGGCCTGCTGGATAAGTCTCAGTGTAGCTGGAGTTGTGGAACAGAGACATGGAGGCTCTAGCTTTGGATCCCGAGCCTGAAAGGCCACTTTCCAGCCTGTCAAGAAAATATGCTTTTTTGTTATGGCTTTTTTTTATTGCTTTATTTTTTTTATCCCAGAAAGGTCTTGACATTTCTCTTTGATTAAAGCTGTTTCTTTCATTCAGATACAAACAAATGGCAACTACTTAAAATGTTCTTTTCATTGTATATCAGCTAGATAGCATAACCATCCCTCTGGTGTCTTCAGGTACATCCTCGCTGTGGTGCCTAAGGTTTCTGTACTGTTGTGGTGCTTCATGCCATCCAACTGTTAACTAGGATGGATACATACCATACACCATATTATTTATACTGAATTATAGAGGGCACGCTTATGCTGTCTCCACTGGCACTAGATTATTGGATTCATCATTAGACTAAAACAGGATTAAAATAGCACACTTATATATCACTTGCCACTGTGAATTATATGAAACAGTTGGATAGTCATCACGGACATCTAGACTAGGATCTATAAGGCCTTGCTTTCTAATTTGCAGATGTATTTATCTGTGTGTTACAACAATGCTGAAGCTTCTGTGTGGAGGATTTGAAAATGACTGACTTTAGTGACTCCTAGTGGTTATATCAAAAAAGACACTGTTAGACAGCAATGTATGCAACAAATATACTAGACCAATTTTCACCAGATTTGCCATAATTTTTGTGATGTGATGTCATCAGGAACTTTATTATCATAAAATTGGTTACATTCAGTAAAAGGCTACTTACGGCAGGAATGGTCTGACAGCCACATTCAGGCTTGCGTTTGTGTCCAGGGGATAAGCACAAGAGAAAGGAAGACTCACAGGAACGACGAAGGACCCATTTCTTATTGGGTAGATAGATAAACTGTTGGAGTAGATGGCATGAGTGCGGTTGGTCTGAAAGACAGAGGATTAAATGATCACTCAGTTGAATGATTATGTCAACTTGAGAGGATTTTCTGTTAGCATCAGCATGAGCAAGTGGTTAGAGAAACTGTAATTGTCACTGTATCCCTCTCCATTCTTGGTGACCTGACCTCCCTGAAGAAGAGATTTACAATTTGGGGAAAGATTCTCCAGTCAAGACTATGTGCTAAATAGTCCAGTTGTGTGACGTCTGCAAAAACCCATGTGGCCTGAAGATCCACCAGACCAGACCAGTTGTTATCTTTATGAGATACAGGAGTTGCCACACAGGAGTCCCCCTACAGTGACCAGAACCTTTGTACTGCAAGCTCCACGCCAGGGCGGTTCTGAACACTGAAAGGGCAAGGGGCCAGCAGCTAACAAATAAGGGATTACAAATGAGGATATGGACGGGATCCTAGAAGCACAGCCAGAAGTGATGCAGATCAGAAGTGCCAGTCAATGTCAACCATCATTGTCAACACTGCTGCTGAGGGGTTTGGCATTCAGAAGCAGTAAATGAGGCTCCCCAGTAGCTCACAAGGTAGAGCCAGTACCACATATCAAGGCTGAGTTACCACAGGAGCCTGGGTTTGAATTCAGTAAAGGGACTGGGCTGGATGCAGAGACCAAGACCTGGGGGACTGAAGGGCTTTCATGCCAGAACAAATGCCACAGTTCAAACCAGGGAGCCTTGAAGTGAAGCTAAAACAAGCTCAGCCCCAGGCCCTCTTAAGGTCTACAAGAGGTGCCCCAGGCTCTTGTTATGCCAAGCAACATAAGCTTGGCACCAGCTGGAGAAGGGGATCATTTCTGAATGCACCATTTCAGTGATCCTGTTTGCCATGAACATGGTTGTCGAATCAGCAAATGTGAAGTATAGAGACTCTGTCACCATGTCTGGTGTTCCACAGCTCCATTGATGGCTTGACAATAACAACATCAGCGTCTAAATGCAGATGGATCCTCAAGGGTCCTGAGAGATTAATCACCTGGGCCCGGTTGAGTTTTAAAACTGGTCAAGGTCCATGGTCTTAAGGAGGGATTAAGTTAATAAGAAATTCTGTGTCTTCCTTGGAGGTATTCAGATTCACTGAGAGGCCAGTTAAGAATTAAGCAGTCCATAGCACGCTCTAGGACACAGCTGTACTCCAGGAGACCAAGGTATTTGATGTATGACAGGCAGAGGAGGATAGCTCTGGGTTGCTGGGAAGTTAAAGGCCTGGCTCAATCAACATGGGATCCAGGTGTTTTGTGACCGTTGCTGTTTAATGAGGAAGATCAGCCACTTCTTGCCATGGTGGCTGTGACTTCCACAAAGTCTGAGCAGCCTTGTCTTATAAGCAGAATAACAAGCTACAGCGACCCTTCAGCTGCCTGACTGAGGAGTTTGCGGTTACTTGGGCAAGGGTGGTGGTTTTTAGGGGTGATTTTTAAAATGTGATATCGACAGCAGTAGCATTATGCTAGATTTATGGGTTTAACCCTGAACAGAAACATACATTACACAGAAGATAGCATAATAATACATCTTAGCTGTAAGTGGCAGTGGCAGTGACAGCAGCTGAAGATTCAAGGTGCCCACAGCTAAAGAAGGGGGCACAAGATACATTATTTAAAGGCCCCCAGAATTTGTAGCACTGCCCATGCTGAGCAGATGCACATTATCTGGTAGTTTAAAAAACAACAGGACAACATAAAAATGTCTCTATAGATTAAATAATCAGGTTCACAGCAGAAAAAAACACAAGTTAAGTCTTTACCCTTAGTGTATTTCCACAGGCACCTTCTGTGGCCTGGACTTCGTACCACACTGCATCATCATGCACTTTGACCCAGGAGCAATTGCGGGATGCTAGGTTGCCCGAGAATGGGTTCAAACCAGAAGATGTCAAGCTTGCCATATCCAGCCCACGTAGAGTTTATCATGGCCACAAATAAGCTCTGCAGACTGGAGTGCAGGATGCTGGACTATAGAGGAAGATATAATGTCAGAGAAGTGTGAGAGAAAGAAGAAAGGAAATTAGATGGTAAATACTTTATACCAATGATGAACTGTATTATGTCAAAACATTTCAAAATATAAAAGGAAACCTACATTCACACACAACGCTGCATCTCATGTGACCGCAGTTGTGGATCCAAATCCTCGATGTCTGCAGTCTGTTATCGATGATTCATTTCCACGTGACATCATCCAGCCAGATGGGCCCTCTGCCCTGTCCAAAACGTGCACCTTGTGGTGCTGACACGGCCCTGCCGCAGCCCAGCTGTCTGCACACCACCTGAGCATCAACCAGGCCCCAGTCATCGTCACACACCGTCCCCCACTGTCCTCGGAGGAAGATCTCCACTCTACCGGAGCAGGAGCTGTTTCCTCCATCGGCCAGGCGGACCTGCCCCTCAACTCCTGTGCTGTTGTCTGCGGGTGTTGTGGTGTTAGCTATCACCTGAGCAGTGGTGGTGTTCTGAGGTTTGGAGTCGGTGTGGTTGGTGAAACTGTGCTGTTGGATCCTGGTTGAACTGAAAGAAAAGTCTCTGTGAAATCACAAGACAACTATAGCCTGCACTGCCAGCTGCAGTCATGAGGAAAAGCCCCCTTTCTTTATTATTGATGGAACTGATTATGTTATTGTTGGGTACAAAATCCATTTATGGATCAACGTATCTTTTCTTTTAAGAAGAAAGGAAAATAGATGGTAAATACTAAATACCAATGATGAGAACCTCCGTAAACCTCAGTTTGTAATTTGAACTGTATTATGTCAAAACATTTCAAAATATAAAAGGAAACCTACCTTCACACACGACACCAGCATCCTCATGGTGACCGCAATTGTGAGATCCAAACCCACGGTGCCTGCACTGGGTGAGCTTTGATTCGCTGCCTGTGCACGTGACATCATCCAGCCAGATGGGCCCTCTGCCCTGTCCAAAACGTGCACCTTGTGGTGCTGACACGGCCCTGCCGCAGCCCAGCTGTCTGCACACCACCTGAGCATCAACCAGGCCCCAGTCATCGTCACACACCGTCCCCCACTGTCCTCGGAGGAAGATCTCCACTCTACCGGAGCAGGAGCTGTTTCCTCCATCGGCCAGGCGGACCTGCCCCTCAACTCCTGTGCTGTTGTCTGCGGGTGTTGTGGTGTTAGCTATCACCTGAGCAGTGGTGGTGTTCTGAGGTCTTGGAGTCGGTGTGGTTGGTGAAACTGTGCTGTTGGATCCTGGTTGAACTGAAAGAAAAGTCTCTGTGAAATCACAAGACAACTATAGCCTGCACTGCCAGCTGCAGTCATGAGGAAAAGCCCCCTTTCTTTATTATTGATGGAACTGATTATGTTATTGTTGGGTACAAAATCCATTTATGGATCAACGTATCTTTTTCTTTTAAGAAGAAAGGAAAATAGATGGTAAATACTAAATACCAATGATGAGAACCTCCGTAAACCTCAGTTTGTAATTTGAACTGTATTATGTCAAAACATTTCAAAATATAAAAGGAAACCTACCTTCACACACGACACCAGCATCCTCATGGTGACCGCAATTGTGAGATCCAAACCCACGGTGCCTGCACTGGGTGAGCTTTGATTCGCTGCCTGTGCACGTGACATCATCCAGCCAGATGGGCCCTCTGCCCTGTCCAAAACGTGCACCTTGTGGTGCTGACACGGCCCTGCCGCAGCCCAGCTGTCTGCACACCACCTGAGCATCAACCAGGCCCCAGTCATCGTCACACACCGTCCCCCACTGTCCTCGGAGGAAGATCTCCACTCTACCGGAGCAGGAGCTGTTTCCTCCATCGGCCAGGCGGACCTGCCCCTCAACTCCTGTGCTGTTGTCTGCGGGTGTTGTGGTGTTAGCTATCACCTGAGCAGTGGTGGTGTTCTGAGGTCTTGGAGTCGGTGTGGTTGGTGAAACTGTGCTGTTGGATCCTGGTTGAACTGAAAGAAAAGTCTCTGTGAAATCACAAGACAACTATAGCCTGCACTGCCAGCTGCAGTCATGAGGAAAAGCCCCCTTTCTTTATTATTGATGGAACTGATTATGTTATTGTTGGGTACAAAATCCATTTATGGATCAACGTATCTTTTTCTTTTAAGAAGAAAGGAAAATAGATGGTAAATACTAAATACCAATGATGAGAACCTCCGTAAACCTCAGTTTGTAATTTGAACTGTATTATGTCAAAACATTTCAAAATATAAAAGGAAACCTACCTTCACACACGACACCAGCATCCTCATGGTGACCGCAATTGTGAGATCCAAACCCACGGTGCCTGCACTGGGTGAGCTTTGATTCGCTGCCTGTGCACGTGACATCATCCAGCCAGATGGGCCCTCTGCCCTGTCCAAAACGTGCACCTTGTGGTGCTGACACGGCCCTGCCGCAGCCCAGCTGTCTGCACACCACCTGAGCATCAACCAGGCCCCAGTCATCGTCACACACCGTCCCCCACTGTCCTCGGAGGAAGATCTCCACTCTACCGGAGCAGGAGCTGTTTCCTCCATCGGCCAGGCGGACCTGCCCCTCAACTCCTGTGCTGTTGTCTGCGGGTGTTGTGGTGTTAGCTATCACCTGAGCAGTGGTGGTGTTCTGAGGTCTTGGAGTCGGTGTGGTTGGTGAAACTGTGCTGTTGGATCCTGGTTGAACTGAAAGAAAAGTCTCTGTGAAATCACAAGACAACTATAGCCTGCACTGCCAGCTGCAGTCATGAGGAAAAGCCCCCTTTCTTTATTATTGATGGAACTGATTATGTTATTGTTGGGTACAAAATCCATTTATGGATCAACGTATCTTTTTCTTTTAAGAAGAAAGGAAAATAGATGGTAAATACTAAATACCAATGATGAGAACCTCCGTAAACCTCAGTTTGTAATTTGAACTGTATTATGTCAAAACATTTCAAAATATAAAAGGAAACCTACCTTCACACACGACACCAGCATCCTCATGGTGACCGCAATTGTGAGATCCAAACCCACGGTGCCTGCACTGGGTGAGCTTTGATTCGCTGCCTGTGCACGTGACATCATCCAGCCAGATGGGCCCTCTGCCCTGTCCAAAACGTGCACCTTGTGGTGCTGACACGGCCCTGCCGCAGCCCAGCTGTCTGCACACCACCTGAGCATCAACCAGGCCCCAGTCATCGTCACACACCGTCCCCCACTGTCCTCGGAGGAAGATCTCCACTCTACCGGAGCAGGAGCTGTTTCCTCCATCGGCCAGGCGGACCTGCCCCTCAACTCCTGTGCTGTTGTCTGCGGGTGTTGTGGTGTTAGCTATCACCTGAGCAGTGGTGGTGTTCTGAGGTCTTGGAGTCGGTGTGGTTGGTGAAACTGTGCTGTTGGATCCTGGTTGAACTGAAAGAAAAGTCTCTGTGAAATCACAAGACAACTATAGCCTGCACTGCCAGCTGCAGTCATGAGGAAAAGCCCCCTTTCTTTATTATTGATGGAACTGATTATGTTATTGTTGGGTACAAAATCCATTTATGGATCAACGTATCTTTTTCTTTTAAGAAGAAAGGAAAATAGATGGTAAATACTAAATACCAATGATGAGAACCTCCGTAAACCTCAGTTTGTAATTTGAACTGTATTATGTCAAAACATTTCAAAATATAAAAGGAAACCTACCTTCACACACGACACCAGCATCCTCATGGTGACCGCAATTGTGAGATCCAAACCCACGGTGCCTGCACTGGGTGAGCTTTGATTCGCTGCCTGTGCACGTGACATCATCCAGCCAGATGGGCCCTCTGCCCTGTCCAAAACGTGCACCTTGTGGTGCTGACACGGCCCTGCCGCAGCCCAGCTGTCTGCACACCACCTGAGCATCAACCAGGCCCCAGTCATCGTCACACACCGTCCCCCACTGTCCTCGGAGGAAGATCTCCACTCTACCGGAGCAGGAGCTGTTTCCTCCATCGGCCAGGCGGACCTGCCCCTCAACTCCTGTGCTGTTGTCTGCGGGTGTTGTGGTGTTAGCTATCACCTGAGCAGTGGTGGTGTTCTGAGGTCTTGGAGTCGGTGTGGTTGGTGAAACTGTGCTGTTGGATCCTGGTTGAACTGAAAGAAAAGTCTCTGTGAAATCACAAGACAACTATAGCCTGCACTGCCAGCTGCAGTCATGAGGAAAAGCCCCCTTTCTTTATTATTGATGGAACTGATTATGTTATTGTTGGGTACAAAATCCATTTATGGATCAACGTATCTTTTTCTTTTAAGAAGAAAGGAAAATAGATGGTAAATACTAAATACCAATGATGAGAACCTCCGTAAACCTCAGTTTGTAATTTGAACTGTATTATGTCAAAACATTTCAAAATATAAAAGGAAACCTACCTTCACACACGACACCAGCATCCTCATGGTGACCGCAATTGTGAGATCCAAACCCACGGTGCCTGCACTGGGTGAGCTTTGATTCGCTGCCTGTGCACGTGACATCATCCAGCCAGATGGGCCCTCTGCCCTGTCCAAAACGTGCACCTTGTGGTGCTGACACGGCCCTGCCGCAGCCCAGCTGTCTGCACACCACCTGAGCATCAACCAGGCCCCAGTCATCGTCACACACCGTCCCCCACTGTCCTCGGAGGAAGATCTCCACTCTACCGGAGCAGGAGCTGTTTCCTCCATCGGCCAGGCGGACCTGCCCCTCAACTCCTGTGCTGTTGTCTGCGGGTGTTGTGGTGTTAGCTATCACCTGAGCAGTGGTGGTGTTCTGAGGTCTTGGAGTCGGTGTGGTTGGTGAAACTGTGCTGTTGGATCCTGGTTGAACTGAAAGAAAAGTCTCTGTGAAATCACAAGACAACTATAGCCTGCACTGCCAGCTGCAGTCATGAGGAAAAGCCCCCTTTCTTTATTATTGATGGAACTGATTATGTTATTGTTGGGTACAAAATCCATTTATGGATCAACGTATCTTTTTCTTTTAAGAAGAAAGGAAAATAGATGGTAAATACTAAATACCAATGATGAGAACCTCCGTAAACCTCAGTTTGTAATTTGAACTGTATTATGTCAAAACATTTCAAAATATAAAAGGAAACCTACCTTCACACACGACACCAGCATCCTCATGGTGACCGCAATTGTGAGATCCAAACCCACGGTGCCTGCACTGGGTGAGCTTTGATTCGCTGCCTGTGCACGTGACATCATCCAGCCAGATGGGCCCTCTGCCCTGTCCAAAACGTGCACCTTGTGGTGCTGACACGGCCCTGCCGCAGCCCAGCTGTCTGCACACCACCTGAGCATCAACCAGGCCCCAGTCATCGTCACACACCGTCCCCCACTGTCCTCGGAGGAAGATCTCCACTCTACCGGAGCAGGAGCTGTTTCCTCCATCGGCCAGGCGGACCTGCCCCTCAACTCCTGTGCTGTTGTCTGCGGGTGTTGTGGTGTTAGCTATCACCTGAGCAGTGGTGGTGTTCTGAGGTCTTGGAGTCGGTGTGGTTGGAGAAACTGTGCTGTTGGATCCTGGTTGAACTGAAAGAAAAGTCTCTGTGAAATCACAAGACAACTATAGCCTGCACTGCCAGCTGCAGTCATGAGGAAAAGCCCCCTTTCTTTATTATTGATGGAACTGATTATGTTATTGTTGGGTACAAAATCCATTTATGGATCAACGTATCTTTTTCTTTTAAGAAGAAAGGAAAATAGATGGTAAATACTAAATACCAATGATGAGAACCTCCGTAAACCTCAGTTTGTAATTTGAACTGTATTATGTCAAAACATTTCAAAATATAAAAGGAAACCTACCTTCACACACGACACCAGCATCCTCATGGTGACCGCAATTGTGAGATCCAAACCCACGGTGCCTGCACTGGGTGAGCTTTGATTCGCTGCCTGTGCACGTGACATCATCCAGCCAGATGGGCCCTCTGCCCTGTCCAAAACGTGCACCTTGTGGTGCTGACACGGCCCTGCCGCAGCCCAGCTGTCTGCACACCACCTGAGCATCAACCAGGCCCCAGTCATCGTCACACACCGTCCCCCACTGTCCTCGGAGGAAGATCTCCACTCTACCGGAACAGGAGCTGTTTCCTCCATCGGCCAGGCGGACCTGCCCCTCAACTCCTGTGCTGTTGTCTGCGGGTGTTGTGGTGTTAGCTATCACCTGAGCAGTGGTGGTGTTCTGAGGTCTTGGAGTCGGTGTGGTTGGTGAAACTGCTGATGTGTTCACCTCTGTTAACAATAGACAACAGTGAGACACTCGTGCTAAGCCAGTGAGATTTTTTTGGTCCGTAAATTATTCATTCACTTTAAGAACAAGAAGACATTAGTTTCTTCACTACTTTCTTAAAATATAAATGAATGCTTTAGATGAGAACATTGCATTTGTTGTTACAGTGTAAAGATTTTAAAATGGAATAATACCTGCACAGTATGCAAGTGAGCAAGTGGAAGGCTTTACAAGTTTATAGACGTAGTAGTTTCCATATCAGAGCTTGACATGGATGGTGTGTGTCGCAAAAGTGCAGCAGTTGTGCCAGGAATTACACACAGTACGATTTACTATTTCATCAGACTGTGTGGGATGAGGCTCTGTTATCCACATAGTAGCATGGGTTCCACACCTGTTTTCAGGTATACACCTCTCTGGAATATGAGCACTGGTTTGCCACAGTAACAGGCGATACCAGCCTTGCCAGTTAACATTTCGGTCACAGTGAATGACTGTATTTGATGTGTTATTCGTTGAACGCCAGTCGTCATTCAGTACAGTGTAGTGCTCACAGGGGTCAGCACAACGGAGAACCCCATTTTAACTGATGCAGTCCATGCCTGAAGGACAAACTGTGTTTCCACAGTTGAACTGGACATATTGAGAGGAGGGGCTCGATCTTGAGCTGGAGGAAGACTCCAAACATTGGAAAGAGCCTGGGGTGTTTTGGCAAACCTGGGGTGGCATGCATGGTGAGTCTGGAAGGGAACACTCGTCAGTGTCCACACAGCCACTGTCTGGTGACCAGTGATAACCTTGGCTACAGCAAGAAGAGTCACTGCACTGCATTTTGCATTGTAACAGGAGAGACCATCGCCTACAAAGCCATCTTTACAGACACAAGAGAGCGCCGGGCTGGTGAGAGAGTCTCCTCTTTCTCGTGACTCCAGGCAGGTGGCTTCATCATGACATGAATCACAGCTGAAGACAAGCGTCCCTGTCATAACTTGTGCATGATGTAAGTAATTTGAAGTAGCTTTTCCAGGTAAAACGGTGAAACTACAGTGAAATTACATGCAATTGGCGTAAATGAACAAAACTAATTCAGGATCATTTATGTTTAGTTATCCTGTGAGTACAATTACACAGAAAACATCTGTTCAAATCTCACTGTAGAGTTATACCAGAGGTGCAATCACCATCAAAGTTTACCACTGATTATTTTATTTTCAAGGACGTCACCACTGAATGCAAGATTTTACGTGGTCTCTTAATACTGTGTCATGGTTGATTATTATTACAAAGGCAGTTCAGGTAGAAAGGACTTTGTGTTATGGTTTTGGGTTTGACTTTAGCTATGTCCTGGTTTATTTTATGAGAGTCCTCCTTCATGTGTCTTGGATTACTTTACTTTACCTCCTGTGATTGTGTGTTTTTCAGGACAGTTTTGATTGTCTGCCCACCCTGATCCTAATCTGGAGCAGTGTTGGGAAGGTTACATTAATTTATCATAGTAATGTAAGGACTATGGCAGGAAATTGCAAAGGAATACATTGTGCACATGAAAAACATGCAGAGCAACAAAATGAATATTATTCAACATATAGCCGAGCTTTTTACAGATAATGTTCAGATGTAACCCCCAATGTAATCATGAACATTTCCATTAGTAACTGTAATTTAGTTATACATTTTTCAGTAAATGTAGCGGATTACAGTTAAATTTATTTTGTAATTAAATTATTTAACAATATTACATGTAAATAGTTACTCCACAACATTCGTCTGGAGTTGTTTCAATTCCACATGTTCCATGTTACCCTGTTTGAAAAACTGTTTAACATTTTATGTTAAATTTTTGTCTGGACCAGGAAGTTTTCTAATGAATATCTGAAAATTATATAATCATTTAATATTATAGAAAAGCAAGGGTGAAATTATGTACCAGACAGCTAATTTGGAGGTGCATTTATAAAAAAGCCATCTTAACTTTTATTATTGAAGTTAATGTAAGAATAATATGGCTTCACTAAATCACTGGAATAGAAATACTGACAGTGCCAAATAAAATGTTTTATCCTAAATCAACTTAAAGAGAAATTTGGGGAAATTTAAAGTTCTTTTATGAACTATGTAATTCATTCCAATGTTGTTGGTGCCTGAATTTATAATTTGTGTGTGGAGAAAGAAAGGCAGAGTACTATTTAATTAAAGACTTTTAATTGAAGTGCATCCATGCATGACACAGAAGGAGCAAAGGAGCCACACAAAAATCTATTTAAATGTGTTTTTTTTTTAAGTACAATTACACCCAAGATGACAAGATGTTACATGACCTACCTGAAGTGCTTCCTGTTAAAATCTGCAAAATTAGGAGCAATAACAAACCCCCAGGCACCCCCATTATGGACCACATCCACGACACCAACTTGCTGAAAAAACAAAAAAGAAGTCTTAAAATCACATTTTCAAAAGATGCTGCCATATTCATTACTTTGCCAGACATTGTTCTTACCTTTGAAAGACTGTGGGAACCCAGGAGTTAGTGACAGTGAATATCTCCCAGTGAGTGACAGTGTGAGAATTTATAGGCCCCTATGTGTGCTCAAAAGACCAATGGGGGTCACCGACAGCACCGATACATGTAGTATGACATCAAATGAGTTACTTATTAATCAAATAACGTAAAATGATCAATTCAGACTTAACTGGCACACAAACAAATGCCTGAGTCACTATATTTTATGGTACCACAATCTATCTCAGGTCAGTGTTGAAACAAGGAGACTCTAGGTTTGTACATTCCAATATTAATACCATTTATAACCACACTTCGTCAACATTGACTGAAAAGCCAGAGAGCACACTGAGTACTCTCGAAACTCCATGAAAATTGTTTCACCAATTCAAGGGCCACGTACTTGCTGTTTCCAATGTCAAATAGACTGTGCCTTTCTAGTCCTCCGACCAGTCAAAGCACAAACAAAACATGTCGCATTCACCCGTTCACACACATTCATACACTGATGACACAGCCTTCAGGAGCAATTTTGGGTCCAGTATCTTAGACAAAGTTATTTCAACATACAGACTTGAGGAGCCGGGGATCAAACACCTACCGATAAGTGGGCGACACGCTCTTCCTCCTGTGCCACAGCCTCAACTGTACCTGACAGTTTATATTTACATCTTACTCAGTTTGACTGAGCAAATGCCATCCATTTCAGTAAATTGTAAGAGGACCATGAATTAGGATTATTTTGTCAATATCTTAAAAGTCTAAGGAAGAAGGAAGGACATGCAGTTAGAAATACATTTTAAAAGATGTCAACCGTTTGATGAACCCCTTGATGTCAGAGGCATCAGGTAAATCTCAACGCTTCTCTCATCATGCATCAGTATGGCATGTGCATGTTGGACCCCATCTTATATCTCTGCATTATATATCTGCCTTTGAAAAGGTTTGTTTTTATGAAATTAGGAGCATCTCACTTGTACAGCTGGGAACAGTGTGTGAATGGGTGAATGTGTTGTAGCGTAAAACGATTTGTTGTTGCGAAGACTTGAAAGGATACAGACCATTTAGCAACTTGATTCATTGTGTAATTATTATGGTAATAAGTCACTTATTATGTTTATTTTTGGAATCACTGCAGCCCTTCTTGCAATCATATTTCAAAACTCACTTCTTCTTCAGTGTTTTATTATTCTGACGTAAATGGTACTTTGTTCCATTTTAAGACGGGCTAATAAGATTTTTACAACACTTTATGCAAGTACCAGTGTGCAATAGTGTGCCCTTCATACAGTATTACTAATAGTGCTACGTACAAAGCAATTGTTGGAAAGTTGGGCATCATTTCAAAGGAAAGCCATACACAAACACAGCAATCAGTCACACAGGCACTGCTAAGAAAGCGCATGTTTGTGTGGATATTAGCTCAGACACCTTCAATGCTAAGATGTCAAATAATCAACACTAAAAGTAAAGAACACAATACATCACAGCACATGGTGACAGATTAACATAAATGTTATAGAACATTCTCAAGTGTCTTAATTGATGTGACAAGGAAAAGTAAGACAGGTCTAGCTTGGAGTCATTAGCTGACCCCACAAGTGTTCACTGACCTTCCAGCTGTAGTTCTTTCTCACATGTAACTGTCCTTGTTAGGGAGACAACAGTTAGACTGATAAGGTAGAGACAGTAGCTCAGGCGTCAGGCTGGCAAAAATCAGTGTTCTCTGGGAATCTGACAAGGTTGAGTCTTACAAAATGTTTAACAAAAACTTACTGGCTCCACAGATTAGCGTACAACTCATGGATAGAATTTGATTCCAATTTGACGAAGCATCGGAGTCTAAACATCAGATAGATTTGTTGTTCTAGGTAAAGGCCAGCTAAAGATGAACTAAGAGGAAAACCTACAGGAACTAGGGGGAAGACAGAAACATAAAAGTGACCAAATGCTCTGTTGTTATCGTTCAGATTTGGTGTTGGCATTTAACGTGTTCAAATGTTGAATGCTGGCACTGTATCTCCTTGGCTGGGCTCAATAAACCAAACTATGTTAAAGAGGTGGTATAATGCTGTATGTTGTTCCTCAAATGTTGTATGTTGTTCATCAAATGTAAGTCACTTTGGATAAAAGTGTCTGTTAAATGAGTAAATGTAAATGCTTTTTGCCTTTTTCCCTCTCCTTCTAGCTTGAGACTTTCACTCTTCTGTTGTTGTTAATTTAAAGTTAATATGATGTAGGATTGTATAGAAAATCAAATGATTTATATGATGTGGTGGGAAAAGGATGTTTAAATAAACAGCTCAGGCTAACACTTGTCTTTCAGTGAATTTTATTCAAGTCTTCTGCAGAAGGAACTCACAGGGACACATACGCATCAGAGAGTATCATCCAAGTGAGCTGCAGTGTAACAGCTCATGCAGCTTTTATCTTAGTCTCAGGGTCGGAGAACTATCTCATCAAGGTGTCTTTGAGCGTTCCCGAGGGACACTCAATCTGGATCTATAGAAAGACGCCCATGTCCAAGGTACATGTGGTGAACCACTGAGTCCTGACCCCACTGGACATATGTTAAAGCATCACACACATTTACCTTCCATTGACCCCTGGAGGCCCCTAGTGAGATTAGTTACATGGCAGTGTTTTAAAGATGGTTCATGAAATTCCCATTACAATCCTTAATGGTTTGAAAAAAAAAGTTTACTGTGCCTATGAAAATTGTTTACCCCCCTCGGAAGTGATCATGTTTTATTGTTTTACTGCTATGAGTCAAAGACTTTACGTCAGTGTTTCGATGCAGATCAACGGATCTCAAAGTAATGTAATTTCATTAGAAATGTAATTCTTAAAAGTCTAAGGAAGAAGGAAGGACATGCAGTTAGAAATACATTTTAAGAGATGTCAACCGTTTGATGAACCCCTTGATGTCAGTGGCATCAGGTAAATCTCAACGCTTCTCTCATCATGCATCAGTAT